AGCTTAAGGACTAGGTCTTATTTTGATTGCACTAGTGGGGAATAGGGTCTCTGGATATTTTTAATTGAAAAAATAAGGGATACAATTCTAATGATAATTGCATTTATCTAGGCATGTATAATGTTAGCAGCTGATTTTTCCACAGATATCCTGGGAAAAAAGTAAAAGAATGCAATGGCCAGAGGAGGTTTGTAGAGAGTGAGCTACATTTGTTCATGTTTGTAGAGAATGAGTTAGCACAGGCTAATTTTCTCATATGACAGAGGTCAGGGTCTTATGGTTTGAGTAAAAATAGCAAATATCTTAAGCTTGGCTTTTAATTCTGAAGATGAAGTTTCAAAGCAGACTGGGAGGACGTGATGTTGATCATGACCCACATGATGACTAAAAGTAGATTTCAAAACTATACTCACAGTTACAGTGAGCTGTACTCAGAGATGCTGTCAGTGCTTAGTGCTGGAGGAGGATATGCAGAGTGGCGTGCGGTCCTGGGTCGGGTTCCAGTCCTGGTTAATCACTTGGACAGAGCAGTAGGGAGTGTGCTTATTAAAACTGCAGATCTATAAAATGGGAAGGAAGGACACAGGAATACAAGATTAGAATACAAAATGATCTGGACAAATTGAAGAAATTCAATAGGGACAACTGCTTCTAAGCAAGGCTAATTGACTACACAAATACATAATGGGAAGAGAAGCAAGACAGCAGCCCTTTAGAAATGGATGTAAGGGTTATAGCAGATTACAAGTGGAACATGAGGCAACAAGGCCGTGTTGCTGCAAAACAACTAAATGTCATATGGGAATATAAAAGCATTTAACTTTCAAGACAGCTGAAGTAATTCTTCTGCTCTGCTTAAGGCTGGCAAGGTCTCGGCTGGAGGCCCGTACGGTGCCCGATCCCAAGCTAACGTGCTCAGCTACTGCAAATAGCTGTGCCCTGTTACAGTGCTGACACGTTGGGCTAGTTCAGCTCTTGAATTGCATTGTGTGCTGTATAATGTCTTTACCTTCCTTTATTAAACAGACTTTCTCTCCAGGAATAAGCAAGGAGCAGATGTTTCCAAGTCAATTCAGCCTTTCTGTTTGTTACAGTGTCCTGAAGTAACCAGTCACTGCAGTAAGTTCTCTTTTAACTGGTTTGGGCTTAGTATCTGTATATCAGTTTAATAAACACATTATCAATTGTGAAGTAAAACACTGGAAAATGTAAGATACCGGGTTTCTACATCCACAAGGGTTGTACTAACAGAACTGCAGGTGAGGGAGGCTTTCAGGGAAGCAAACCAATGAATGTGGTGAAGGTAAATGTGTTTCTGAAGGAAAAAAATCAATATGCCATCATTGTTTAAGATACACCATAGTGCAAAGATAAGCTTAATTTATTGAAAATAAGGATTGCATTCACTTTATTTCAAAGCTGAACTGCTAACATAAATAAGTGATTGAAAGGCATGTTATGACTAATAGGTCTTTATCTTTCAGGTTTACTTCTGCTAATGTATTCCCTTTAGAGCTGCCAGCATCTGTTGTATTATCATGGATACGACAGTTCAGTAAATGCTTTTATTCACCTTTCACTCATTCAGTGATTGATATAGTAAGACTACCTGTGGTTGAACAGTCCAATTACAAAGAAGACAAAAAACCCCCACTCTAACATTGGCCTTTAAATGAAGGGTCATTAAATCAACTAGCTCTCATATTATTCTTTCTAGTGAAACTGTCTGTGAAGGATGGAAAAAAGGCCTAAAAGTAACTTTGCTTTGAACTACTCTGTGTTTATGACACAATATCAAGAAGTTGCTTTGTTTTAATTTGTGGTACCGGCAGATTCAGTCACTTAACTTTGCATCATGGCTGGCTTGCTTAGTTAGCAAGGTCATTAGCTGAAGGAAGTGAGAGGGTTTGCTACCCTTATAGTTACTGGCTTTATGGTGATGGAAAGGTCTTCACTGTATTTAGAGTTGGGTTGTTTAGACTGTACAGCAGACTGCGTATGTACGACAGCGATATGATGATGCCATCGTGTGTGCCAATTGGGTGCCAGCGGTACCTGATACGCCAGTGAAGACAGATGCAGAATGGAAATCCTTCAGGTAACTAAGCTACGCTCTGAAGAGATGTACTTCAGAAAATATGCTGCACATCCGTTTGTAGAGCTGTGGGGCTCAGGGTGACCACAGGATTCAAGGATCAGTGTGTGACAAATCCTTGAGAATATTTTTCTCCAGTCTCTACCCTGCACACATGCCCTCCAATTTAACAGGACTTCACTAGGGGTTTTTTGAGCTCATCCGGTATGTAAAAAGGAGGATAACAATTTCATGGACTAGTTTTAGTTGCTCCACCAGATTCCAGCACACCCTTTTATATCCGTCAACCTTGTTCTTTCTCAAATGTCCACAGATCTTCCTAGATAACTTTTTCAAAGGCAGAAAAGTGTTCTGCAAAGTCATCCCAATGAGCAGGTCTTTGGCTCTGTGTAACCTCTCCCATTCATACAGCTCTAAGTAATGCTGTGCGATTTCTCAGACGGCTGCTCCTGAAAGAGCAGCCAGAAATGCTGTACCCTCTGGTCCCTTTCATCCCACAAAAGACCAGTGACCAATCTGCAAGCCATAA